AAATCAATAACAATAATTAACAATTTAAACAGGGACAGAAAAGCAAATGTTTTTTTTTTTGTTAAGTAATTGAAAAGAAAATTCAACTTAAACTCGGTTTTCTGAAATTTTTTATATAATTTTTCAGTCAGTCTTACTGAGAAATATATAATATTATCAGGAATAATATCGTTTCTAAGATATTTGGCTCTAATTTTCTAGTCTATAATCTATAGTCTAGTCTTAAGTCTAGTCTAAAGTCTAGTCTAAAGTCTAGTCGAAAGTCTAGACTATATAGTCTAGTCTATAGTCTAGTCTAAAGTCTAGACTATATAGTCTAGTCTAAAGTCTAGACTATATAGTCTAGTCTAAAGTCTAGACTATATAGTCTAGTCTAAAGTCTAGACTATATAGTCTAGTCTATAGTCTAGACTAAAGTCTAGACTATAGTCTAGTCTAAAGTCTAGACTATATAGTCTAGTCTATAGTCTAGTCTAAAGTCTAGACTATATAGTCTAGTCTATAGTCTAGTCTAAAGTCTAGACTATATAGTCTAGTCTATAGTCTAGTCTAAAGTCTAGACTATATAGTCTAGTCTATAATCTAGTCTAAAGTCTAGACTATATAGTCTAGTCTATAGTCTAGTCTAAAGTCTAGTCTATAGTCTAGTCTAAAGTCTAGACTATATAGTCTAGTCTAAAGTCTAGACTATATAGTCTAGTCTATAGTCTAGTCTAAAGTCTAGACTATATAGTCTAGTCTATAGTCTAGTCTAAAGTCTAGACTATATAGTCTAGTCTATAGTCTAGTCTATAGTCTAGTCTATAGTCTAGTCTATAGTCTAGTCTATAGTCTAGTCTATAGTCTAGTCTATAGTCTAGTCTATAGTCTAGTCTATAGTCTAGTCTATAGTCTAGTCTATAGTCTAGTCTATAGTCTAGTCTATAGTCTAGTCTATAGTCTAGTCTATAGTCTAATCTATAGTCTAGTCTATAGTCTAGTCTATAGTCTAGTCTATAGTCTAGTCTATAGTCTAGTCTATAGTCTAGTCTATAGTCTTGTCTATAGTCTAGTCTGTAGTCTAGTCTATAGTCTAGTCTATAGTCTAGTCTGTAGTCTAGTCTATAGTCTAGTCTATAGTCTTGTCTATAGTCTTGTCTATAGTCTAGTCTATAGTCTTGTCTATAATCTAGCCTATAGTCTAATCTAAAGTCTAGTCTAAAGTCTAGTCTAAAGTCTTGTCTAAAGTCTAAACTATAGTCTAGTCTAAAGTCTAGATTATAGTCTTGTCTATAGTCTGGTCTATAGAATAGTCTATAGTCTAGTATATAGTCTTGTCTATAGTCTAACATGAGGAGTTTTAGAATTAAAATTTTGTGAATAACTTTAAGTTACATTTTCTGTAGAATAATAAAAAAAACTTAAAATAAATTTTTAAAAGTAAATTTTTTTTAACAATTTATCTCTTTTTCCTTCCATAAACCTAAACATAATAAATAATCTTCTAAACAATTTATACCCATTTATAGTTAATTTTCTTGTAGTTAAATATCAATTTGTAAATGGCGCTTAAATCATGGCATAATACGTTTCTGTTTACTTACTCTCAACTTCAAACGAGGCAATACAACAACTGGCTAAAATGCCAAAAAAAAAACAGAGATCTTCTTCTATAATTTTTACAGCAATTTCCTCCAACATGAAACTTTTAGTGGCCCATTAAAAAGCGTGTTTTCAATAAAAAAAAAAAACAAAAAAGAGAGGAAGAAAACAAATAAAAGTGAACCTCATCCTGTGTGGCCGTGGCACATGATGAGTTTAACTGAACAGGGTGTAATTAGGTGCTTTTTATGCTGTCATCACCAGCGTACTTGATTATAGGGTACTTGATTGTTACTATAAATGTTGCCGTTGTTGCTGTTACGTCGATAGTTGCTGTTGTCAAGAATAAAGTAAATATTAATTTAATTTCTTGATGCAATCTTCCAAAAACACACCAAAAAATTGTAAAGAAAGGAGCCAGTCCCACTTAGCAGGTTCTTTTTTTATTTAGTCCGTACTCTTTTTTCGTTTAGAGACCAAAAACCCTAAACATTTTGGTTGTATATTGCGTTTTATGCATCTTAAACTACGTTTGATACTAAATATGCCCCGTAGGCTATTTATTCTGTGTGTTTTTCGTTGCACTCACTCCTTTACTTGGGCTTTTTTGAGCACTCCAGGCAAATGAAGAAGTAGTTTTTGTTGCTTTGCTTCACATTTTCCCCACGAAGTTAATTGTATAGGAAAAACAGAGTTAAATTTTGAAAAGAAATTATTTTTTAAACTTTAGACATAATTACGGGGTTCAAGTAGATATTCAAACAATGTTGTGTTGAAGTTGGTAAACGGGGGTTCATTGTTTAAGATAATTTTAAATTATAAAAAATAAGAACTATTTATACCATGTACTGAGAAATTATAATGTAATTAGTATATAATTGCTAAAACCAGTTAAGTTATACAGTCCTTTGCTAAGCCTAGTTATACGAGTTATGTGTCTCACCTCAATAAGTTACCCGAAATATCAGTGTTGGCCTTACTCTACAAAGGACTGGTGAAAAACTAATCCAAATATATGAAAAAACTTACTCCATTTCATATTGTCATGACCTAGTTGAGGATAACGTAATCCACACATTCATTACATCAGACAAATCCCAAAACTACTCCTTAGATTATGGTAGTACATGATCCACAACATGTTACTATGTAAAGTAGGCTATATTCAAATCAATTCCGATGTGTTATTATTTTAAGAATTTCATTGAAGAATACCTATCAATCGATGCGCATTAATGTACTGAACACGAGAAAAATAAAAAATATTTTTTTTTCGAAGTTCCTACAAGCGATTGAAAATCCTGACCTCAGTATAATTTTTAAAAATAAAATGTTATTGATTTTTTCAAAATGGGTCTCAAAAATTCCGTAATTTTCTGATTACTGGAAAAATATTCTTAAAATTTTTGTAGAGTATTTGTGGTCCACAAAATGATTTTTAGTGGGTTGGCTAGACATATTATTTTCGTTTTTTATCAAAATAGGCATCAAAATTGTCTTAATTTTTAGTCAATAGTCTAGTCCATAGTCTATTTTTTTTTCTTCGATACGGTGGAGGTGTGAAATCTTTCCAGGATACCTACTAGACTATAGACTAGACTATAGACTAGACTATAGACTAGACTATATACTAGACTATAGACTAGACTATATACTAGACTATATACTAGACTATAGACTAGACTATAGACTAGTCTTGTTGTTTGGTCTAGAATTTCAAAATAGTACGAGTACAATAGTGTGTTTTTCGGCTCCAAGTTAAAAATATCACAAGAGGGATATATGAAATATATGAAGATATATTCACCAATTTAGAGTATATTTTCTACACAATGCATGCTCCCTTTTTGTATGGATTTATCTTTCAAGTCGTTTGAGAAAGATTGTGAAAATTTTAGAATTATTTTTTTTTTAAATTTGAATCTCAGGATTCCTAAAAATGATTAGTAGCATGACAAATATGCCTGTTAAAAATTACATTTTAAAATTATCATGAATTTAAATCATTCTAAATTTGTGAAATTTTTAAATGAATCCAAAAAATTTCTTCAACGGCGCCATAACTTCAACAAAAAGTGACCTATTTTATAATACCTGAAGATTTTTCAAAATTATTTTAATACAAAATTTATTGCAACTATAATTTAACTCGAAGACACATAAATTTAATAAAATAATTTTGATGAACAAAAAACGCACACAACAATTGAGTCATTTTTCCCTTTAAAAACAGCAAAAACAACAATTATAAAAACAAAAAATGAATAAATAATAATGCCCTAAAAAATATGTACGTACGTTTAAATAAAAATTAATTTTCAACAAATGTTTCAATTGTTGTTAAAATTGTTTAAACTACTTTATGACCATTGTTAAGTGTCTTTCAAATGGCTTGTTATTGACTCATTTAAATGCCAAACATGACAGACAACTGAATACTGAAAATGAAATTATTATTGTGTTGGATGAGACTCGCCACAAACCAACAACTGTATAAAATTATGCACAAATGGCCATAACAATTTATGAACAAATGTATACACAAGTAGGAGTTACAAGTGTTTAGGAGGCAGTAGCTAAAGGGTTAAGATGATGATTTTAATGCAATTTTCATGTAAGTATAACTTCAAAACTACAGAAGCTATGGGGATAAAAATTAAAACATTAATAGAAAATGACTTAAGCTTTCATTATATTATTTAAAAGAAAATATATTTGGATTATTGGACCAGTTGTAGAGCATCTAATTTTAAACTTTTTGTTTCAAGTAAACATTTGTATTACAAAACCTATGCTTAACGAAAATGTCTGTAGGGCACCCCAATACACCTTTAATACTAAATGTAATTAAAATCAATCACGTAGAAGTTATAAACTTTAAAAAAGTTAAAATAAACACACATTATTTTTAATATTTTTGTCAAAATACCATTAATAATAAATTTTATTGTATAGTTTTGTTTATTTGTTTTTTCTTGTTTAATAATTTTTTTTATTATTTATTTAACTGTAATTAATGTTGTTTGGTATTTAAAATTAAATTCAAAATTAATTTTAATTACTGATAAATTTATTTGTGTTTAACAGTTTTTTTTTTATTACATTTATTGTACATTTAAATAATAAATACAACTAATTAAGTAAATATATTTTAGGAATATTATTTTTAAATTAAATATGTATATATTTTTGTTTTAATTGTGGTATTTTGTTTATAATTAGTTTATGATAAATAATAATTTTGATTAATCTTTTTTAATTTTTTTCCAAAAAAAATAGTCGTATACAGTTTTTTAAGTTTTTTATATTATTTTTTTTTAGCAAAAAAAATAATTTTTCTTGGTTTAAAAAGCACCTTAAAATTAGGAATCTTTATTTTAAATTAAATTCTAAAAATTTTATTTTACAAAGTTGTTTAGTAAGTTTTTTTTATCAAAATTTTCTCTAAATATAATTTTTGGGATTTTTTTTGTTTAAAATTTACATGGTTTTTAGTTTTATGGAAATTTTAACTTAAATTTAAATAAAAAAAGAATAATTATTTTGGCATAAAACTTAAAGAAGAAAATGCTTAATAAATTAATTCTTTTAAGTCACTGGTTGTAATGTCTTTAATAAAATTAGCTTTTATAATGTGTTCGTCTAAGAATATAGGAAAATTGGAATTTTAGAAAATGTAATAAAGTAAAAGTATTGTTATCATTAGAGTTTGTAGAAAAAATATTATTCCCAAGTGGGATTCGAACTCAAGACCGAAATATATTAAATTAATATTATAATTCAATAGTTAAAAAAATCAAATAAACATATGGCTAGTCCATAGAAAAGTCTGAAAACTTGACAATAGGGTAGGTTTATTAGTCCACAGACGACACGTAATAGTTCCGCAGTCTAGACCATAGATTCCATAGGGAGTCTAGTCCCTATATAAGTCCTTAGAGTAGTCAATGGGCAATATATTTATCAATAGACAAGTGTGATAATAAGTTCATAGCTAATCGAGTTGTGAATGGACTAGTCTGTAGACTTGTTAATAAACATGTCCGTAGACTTGTCAGTGGACTATTCCATAAAATATTAAATCGACTAGTAAATAGATCAGAGCCTAGATTAGTCAATAGATAAGTCCATAGAGTAGTCGATAAGCTAGTCTACGGATTAGTCAATAGACTAGCCCATGGAGCAGTCAATAAACTTATCAATAGACTTTTCAGTAGCCTAGTCCTAAACTAGTAAATACAAACATATGTATATTAGACAATAGACCAGCCAATGTATACATATATGTACTTAGTAGTCCGTAGGCGAGTCAATAGACTTGTTCCTAGACTTTACTCCGATAAGTAATTTAATATGGTACACTTTTTGATTGCAGTTATTGATATTTTTCTTGATCAAACGGTATTGTTTCTACCAAAAGTCCAACAAACTTTGTACTTAAAAGGTACTATTTTGATAATTATTCTAAAACAAACTGCCCTAAAAGTCTATAAAAAGTCCATGAAAGGTATTTATAATGGTTAGAGTTTGGGGTTCGGGAATTTTGAGTTATCGGGCATTTGAGTTATCTCAGTAGCTAACGGAATAGTTGATATTTTCTTATATTTAATTAATTCTAAGAAGTTTGAATGAATCTTATTAATTTAATACCAAACTATTCCTGTGCCTATGGAGTACATATATGATCTGTTTAGTAGTCCTATGGTATGCAAACTATCTCACCGAGGTTGCCTATGAAGTGACTGCAAAAAAAAGTTGCTCTTAGCGGCTAGAATAGGACATTCACAGAGAATATGGGAGACCGTTTCTTCCCTTTGTCTGAAACTGTGACAGGTCTTGTTATTATAAGGTGTCTGGTGCGTTTCTCATTGAAAGAAGGCTACAATGGATTAGTCCCTTTACACGTGCCTAGATTATTCCATCTATCTTCAACATTCTGAAGTAAGAATGTGAGGATACTGTTATTTATAAAACCTAACGGAGTTGCTACTGAAAAGGCGATATCAAGAGCTGATCCCGAAAATAGTTTACAAGTTTTTCATCACTACAAATGTTATTTATTTGATGCCATTTTTTTTTCGAAAATAGTCCAGCAAGAACTTGTTATTAACAGCCTATTTCTCTAAATGCGACCGAACATTTTATATTGAAAACAATAACAATTTGTTTATTTGTTGTTTTCAATATAAAACGAGAAACAAATTGTTCGTTCGCATTAAATGAAACACGCCATATGTTTTCTAGTGCTTTACATGCGTATGTTTTTTAATAGCTCATTTAGGTCCCTATGTATAAGCAAGTAATGGTAATGACTTATTTAACTCCCTATTTGTAAGCGAGCATTTTAGTCGAGCATTGTAGTAACAATCTGCATAACAATTAGAACTATTAATTTTAAAAGTTCACAAATAGCACTCTTCCTTTTTAAAAAGCTCAAGAGAATTTACTTTAGGAATAGTTTATTGATTTGAAAATGTATTATTTATTTGTGATTTAGTAATGTTTTCCTTTTAGCAGAGCATAAAGTACCAGAAACAAAAAGTACGTGAAATATTACTTTCTTCTTGATTAACTTATACTTTTTAAAAATTTTACACAATTTCTTTGTAAACAAATGGTAACAATTTAACAATATTCCATCCTATATTAGTTTCTTATAAATTTGATAAACATTTATAAAAGGTTTAAAGAGCAAATTTTGTATGAAAATATTTTTTTTTTAACCTTTGATAAGTTGCTAGAAGTGCAGAAATTTCTCTAAATTTTCCTTTCAAGGCGAACACATTTCTAAAATGTCTTTTTGTATAATGAAACGGTTTGTAATTTATATAACAAAAAAATGAATTTTTTTTTAAACCTTAAAAATTTCCATTAAAATTTAGGCCCTAATAATTTATTTTCTAACAACTAAAAAAAAACCTAAACTAAATACTACAAAATAAAAATCTAATAAATTAAATAAGCGAAAAATATAAAAAATTTTTTGTTTAACTATTATACAATTAAGTTTTGTTTTGTGTTTTTATAACAATATCTTTGTGTTTTTGCCCCCAACTAAATAAGGGGGAATTTTTTTTGTGTGTGTATGTTTTTTAGTTACTAAATGTAATTTTGTGCGCATTTTTTTGTGCTCTTTACAATTCCTCTAGACATCGTGCATTTGTTAACATTATACGTGTTAGACGCCAAACTTGTTTGGCGGCATTTTCTAAAGCACCCGGTGATTTGCCTTTAAATAAATCCATATTTGGCAAAAAATAATGTGGACACCGACGGCACTGTAGACAAGAGATTAATTGCAAGAATATACCATTAATACGATCGGCAATACAATTCTCCTCCCACTCCATTTCCCGGGGATGTTTTTCACATTCGTAGAGTAGTAATGTTTTCAAGTGGTATGAAGTGACGGGATTACCGGGCAGGTCTAAATGACGATCACGCAGGGTTTTTAAAATACTTAAACATCTACGGCGACTGGCACCTGGAAAAGAGAGTGCAAAAAAAAATATGTTAAAAAATACATTAAATATTGATTTAATAAAATTAAACAAAAAACCCCCCCAACAACAAAAATCTAAAATTATTTTGTTTAAAGAGAGATATTTTCAGAATAAGTTATTTAAAGAATAATTCTTTTCTGTCCCCTTTAATACTCTTTCTCTCTGGCTCTCTCTTTGTTATAATTATTTAGTTCTTGTTGTTTAACAAGACTCCGTGGCGCAACGGTAGCGCGTCTGACTCCAGATCAGAAGGTTGCGTGTTCAAATCACGTCGGGGTCAATTAAGTCGTTTTTTTTTTCTTTAAGTATTTTTTTCTGGGTAATTATTTATTTTATTTCTTTTATTTATGTTTTTATTAATTTGTTTTTGGTGTTTCTGTCAGTATTGACTTTATAATTAATAATCAATATATTTCTGCTAACGACTGACCACTTGTTGGATTTTTTTTTAATTTTAATCGTTTTAAATTTTGTTGTTTGTTGTATATGAAATCGTTTAAAAGTCAAGAGTAGGTGTTGTTTTAATATTTATTCGTTTGATTGCAAATAAAAAAATATTATAATTTGTATAAAATAAAAATTAAATACCGGGTGCAATTTTAAAAAAATTTCTTATCTAAAGGTGAACAGTGGGATAAAAGTTGAAACATATTTTCAGTATAAATTCAAAGAGTAGAAAATCTTATCTTTCATTATGCCTAAAAAGAGCAAAATTGTCTGTTAGATCATCATCATTTTAAAGTGATGATATCACTTCATATAAACCTATCACAAAAGAACCTGTGACAGAACTAGTTCTGTTAGTTTCTTCAGAGGAAAAATTAGCTGAAAAACGGCCGTCAAAATCATTGTCTGATCGGAAATTTTGCATAAAGAAAATACACTTTAAAATCTAAAAAAATCCTACAATATAAAGCAGAGATCTCTCTCAGCATTGATGCCTGGTCTAAAGAGAACAAGAGAATTCTGCACTCTTGTTCTCTTTAGACCAGGCATCAATGCTGAGAGAGAGATCTCTGCTTTATATTGTAGAAGGATTTTTTTTAGATTTTTAAGTGTATTTTCTTTTTGCAAAATTTCCGATCGGAGGTAAATATATAAAGTTTCTTTATAAATTTACTTCTAACCCACTGCATCATGGTTTCTTTTTTGGGATAGTCCAATCTTGTTTAAAAGCTTAGTCACTCATTACTCGTTTAATCTCACAAGTTCAACTTTTATTTTTAAACTTTTCACGTTTATTTTTTTACAAAAATAAAATAAACATTGATTTCATAACTTATTTTTAAATTAAAACACAAAACTTAAGTATGCGATTTAATTAATTATCTCAAAATTATATTAAAATCTTTTAACTAAACAAAAGCAGAATCATAATCAACTAATCTTATCAATTTACACTTAATATAAAATAAATTTAAAACGAAAGGGAAATAATTAAATGATTTAAAAATAATGCTAAATCACATACATACAAAAACAGAATTGAATTATAATGATCACAAATTAATGACAAAAATAAATTCAAGTAAATGAAATTAAACGCGATAAAATACATAATAAATTATAAATTTACGAGTTGTGTTATTAGCAGTAGAACTTAAAATATTTAATACTAACTGTTAGTTCCATAAATTGTTTTTTTTTTGTCACAATAATAAAATTTTTGTTATTATTTTTTTGAAATGGCAGGGAATATTTTATTAGACGTCTTCGTCATAGTTTAGCATGTGACAAATGTTGGGATTTTTTTTTTAAATTGTTTAAACAAATTATTTAAAATGCTTTCGATGTAAAGAATTTTACCGAAATATCATTGTATCTTAAGGATCTTACAGCACTTAAGTATTGAAATATTTATTTCCTTAAATTTTTTAAATTTATATTTTTATTTTTAATTATTCAACACATTTCTGGGAACTTAATATTTTCCACACAGGTTTTGTACATAGTTCTGCCGGTCCATGTACAAGCACTTTGCTCAAGTACTCGAGCTATCTAATCTCTGACCATTGCTGCCCCGTTGCTTAACTTTTGAGATGCAAAACATCACTTCCGTTTACAACCACGCAGAAAGGATGGTAACTGTTGCATATGATGAGTAAAAACACTCACAGAGAAAACACTGTGGTAAATTTGTGATATGATATCAATTGTATAAGTACATTCGAAACACTAACTCTGGACGTACGGATGGGTAAGTTCCTTTAACATATAGACTTAACACCAGCTCATTTTCAACACTTAGTCCTACTGTCACTTCGCTGTGGGTTAACTGTTTGGTGCTGTCGGCAACAGCACCGAACTTATCCCGAATTATAGACTTTACCGTTCATGAGTCTTTTTACCGACATTCTCTTTCCGAGAATTTGATTTAAATCACAGCCAGCATGTGCATTCAGAACGGACCTCTCCGGCACAAGACAAATCTGAAACTCTGTCCTACGGGCTACCGATTCCCATGGTATGGTGGATTATCACCAGTTTATATTTTCGGCAGACTATAGGTACTCGTAGCACTTCTTTTCCCCGGGATTGTAATAAAATCAACAGGAGGGTCTTTCAACAATTCATCATACACGGCCTGTGTATGATGAATTGGATTGAATACGCTCCAAAATAGGTATATAAGATAGACGATATGTTGAAATCTGCGTATTGGATTGTACTTGAACTGACTAATATAAAAGCGTTCAACGTAATGAACTATAAACATGGGTAAAGTCTACAGGACCACTAAAATCCTATGATTTTAACGAGAGCACGACAAGAACGGACGCAACTAAACGAAATATGACGAACGAATTCACTGAAATGCTAAACAACTTTATGTGTTACTGCCAGACTTTGGTAGAAATTAGATCGATATATCTTCCACGAGATTTTATTCCAGATATAGCATTTCTCAGGAAGACTGATTGAAAAATTATAGAGATGTACTTCCAGGAAACTAAGTTTCTGTACTTTGAATGAAAATGAAGTAGAGCGAACAACCTATATACATATAACCGGCCTACTTATATCATACTTTCAAACTAACCTAACCTATAACAATTTTGAATTTAATGAACCATAAAATTGACATTTGATTTCGCAAAGAAATCTAAAATTTTCGACAACACCTTTCTCAAAAGTTTAGTTAATATTTCAGGAAATATAAAATTTAATTTTAAATTATATTATTTGCGAACTCGATGGTACTTTCCTATTGCAAATTTTGTTTAAGAAAGTGATAATATTGTTAAGTTTATAATTTGAAAATTTTTAATTGTTGTTACTTTTCTTTTTTTTTCAGAGAAAATCTTCAACTTTAAATTTAATTCATAATATAAACGTAAGTAATCAAAATTATTTAAAAAACTTATTTAATTGCCTTAATTTAAATAATTCATAATTGGAATGAATTTTGTAATAAATGGTATGAATCGGAATTTTTTTTGTTTGTATGGGTTCTGGGGTCATTATGAATATCGGCAATATCATATAGACTTTTTGAAACCTAAGTTTTGCCGATTTTTGTTGAGAACATTTAATATGATTATGGGCTTAACACCATTTTCAGGGAATAAGATTGTAAGGGGCCTATTTTCAATAGACTTCGTCCTTGGTAGAGTATGTACCAAATTTCAAAATTATTTCCAATAATATTGAAAATTGCGACCTGTAGCGTGCGCACAAGATTTACATGGACACACAGACAGACAGACGTACGGACAGACAGCCAGAAAGACGGACATGGAAAGTGATTCTGAGCCGATTGGTATACTTTAAGGTGTGGAACCTATATTTTTGGTGGTTACAAACATGAGCACAAATTCATAATACCCTCCCCACTATAGCGGTGTAGGGTAAACAAATTCTTCAAAGAAAAAAAGAAAATTTAAATAATTTAAGAAACAATAAATATAAATAATTTCATACTATTAAGGAAATTTTCATAAATATTATTAAAAGCTTTTCTATGCAATATAATTCGAAAAAATATAATTTCCATAGAAATAAAAGTTGGTTGCTATAAAGGAAATATTCAATTGTTGCAATCAATGCAATAACCATTTTCTTTACTTAAAATAATTTCCCCCCAAACAAGTTTACTTTTTCTCTCTCTTTTTTACAAAACTTCTTTTTTTAATCAAATATCCCCTTTTAACCCCTTCTGCTCGATTTTCTTAAAACAAACCAATTTAAAACTTTTTTTTATAAAACAAAAGAAATCTCAGCTGTTGTTTGACAGCAACAAAATAAACATTTAATAAAAACAAATAAATTTTAAATTAAAAAATTCAATAACAACAACAAAAACATCAATATAAAAAGCAAATAAAACAAGAAACAAAATTGTCGTCGTTGTCGTTTAGATTAAATTTCAATGTTTCACACAGATTTATGATCAGTTTTCATGTTAAAAAAAAACGAGAACCTGGAATTTCTTTTGTATGTTTTGTATAAATATTTTAGGGTTTTTTTTAGTTCTTTTTAACGTAACGCTTATCGTTTAGATTATAATCTTTTTATTTTATTTAACAAAAACAAAAAGTGTGTGTTTTTATTTCATTTATGAAATTAAAACGAAATGTTAAGAAGAATTGTGAAAGGGATCTCAGAAAATGGGTGTTATTTGGGGGGTTTTGATCCAGAATTTATTCTTTCCGCTTAACAAAGCTTTTGAATCTAGATTAGTTATAGGCAAAGCACTCTCTCATCATCTCTTGCTTTTCTTGCACAAAGAGAGCTCTCTATTTGGTACCCAAACTAGATTATTAAACTTTTTCAACGTTTATAGTTCATACACGATTCAAAAAACATCTCCTAATAAAACACCCTTTCTTATGAATGCATAACATTAGATTAACTTTTAAAATACAATTTAATAGTCAACTTTTAATTAATAGTTTCAAGTCTAATAAAGAATTGAGACTTTGTTCCAGTCAAGAAGAAGAAAAATTGAAAAATATTATTTAACCAACCAATTGACAATTTAATAATAATAATTGTAAAGAAAAATTGAGTAAATTAATGTTACACCCTGAGTTGGTCAGATCATGTTTGTCATTCGTAATAACTATTAGTATAATTTTTTTACAAAACTAATAAATAAATATTCTTAATAAAATATCAGTAACAGTAGTAGAATTACTAAGTCTTAGTAATAATAATAATAATGTTTTAAAGTAAAAATCGCTTATCGTTTATTTTATTTGAATTTAATTTACAAGTCATTATATCAATCGGCATTTAAAGCCTCTCAAATAAATCAATTATAGTTTAGGTTTAAGTGTGTCACTGATTACTGGTCATAAATTGTAAAAAAATGACGTTTTTCGTTTTTTGTTTCCAGTTCCATGAGGCTCTAAGTGTTTATTGTTTTTCTTAATTTAATATTTTATTTTATTTTCGAATCTTTGGTTCTAGTCCCCCTGCTGTTATACGATTTTCATGTTTCAGTATAAAGTATTTTTACTTTTATTAAGTTGGTTAATTTTATTGTTTTTGTATCTTTCTACTGTTGTTTTTTTTTTTTTAAGTTTATGATTTCATATTTTAGACGCCACTCATTTAGCTGGTGTCACCTTTTGTTTTTGTATTTTCCAACATTGATTCCAGTAACTTTTTTTTTTTAATTTATAATCGAATAAGTTTACAGCCGCACGTTTTGTGTTGGGGGTATTTATAGTTAAAGTCTATTTTGACATCTTAATTTGTGATCGTATTGTTGTTATTAAATTAAATTGTAAATATTGGTTTTTAGTTTCTATTTATAGTGGGTTTAAAATTAAAAAATGATGTGAAAGTGTTAAGGTTGAAAAATTATAGCTTAAATAAGGTAAATTTTCTTTAATTTGAAGTCGAATATATCTTTTACGTGAGTTCTGATTTAACTTCTTAAGTTTTTAAAAGGTTCTATAACAAAAAAACTCTTGAGTTTGCATATCTATAGCTTTGATCATAGGTTAGACCCAGTGTTAGCAATATTTTCCCGCAATTTTCGCTAGAAACTGTCGGATTTAGGTTCTTGCAAAAGCCGCTAGAAATTGTTAAATTTATTAAAATTCTGGAAATTTACCAAATAAATGCAAAATTTCAGTAAATTTTATAAAATATTAAAAATATTGAAACTAAGCTACCAAGAGTAGTCCAGACTATAGATTAGACTTAAGATTATACTATTTCCTAGACCTAAACTAGACTATTAACTAGACTATAGACTAAACTATAGAATAGACTATATAATTGTTTATAGAATACACTACAGACTAGACTATAGACTAGACATTAGCTAATACTATAGACTAGCCCATAGAACATACTATAAACTAGACTATTTACTAGACTATAGAATACGCTATAGAAGAGGCTATAGACTAGACTATAGATTATACTATAAACTAGACCAAAGACTAGACTACTGACTAGACTATATACTAAACTATAGAATAGACTATAGAATTTTCTGTAGAATAGACTACAGACTAGATTATAGACTAGAGTAGACCATAGAATATACTATAAACTAGATTATTGACTAGACTATAGAATAGACTATAGAATGGAGTATATATTCGACTAAAGAATAGACTACAGACTAGACTATAGGCTAGACTATAGACTAGACTATAGACTAGACTATAGACTAGGCTATAGACTAGACTATAGACTAGACTATAGACTAGACTATAGACTATACTATTGACTAGACTATTGACTACACTATAGACTAGACTATAGACTAGACTACAGATTAGACTATAGACTAGACTATAGACTAAACTATAGACTAGACTATAGACTAGACTATAGACTAGACTATAGACTAGACTATAGACTAGACTATAGACTAGACTATAGACTAGACTATAGACTAGACTATAGACTAGACTATAGACTAGACTATAGACTAGACTATAGACTAGACTATAGACTAGACTATAGACTAGACTATAGACTAGACTATAGACTAGACTATAGACTAGACTATAGACTAGACTATAGACTAGACTATAGACTAGACTATAGACTAGACTATAGACTAGACTATAGACTAGACTATAGACTAGACTATAGACTAGACTATAGACTAGACTATAGACTAGACTATAGACTAGACTATAGACTAGACTAGACTATAGACTAGACTATAGACTAGACTATAGACTAGACTATAGACTAGACTATAGACTAGACTATAGACTAGACTATAGACTAGACTATAGACTAGACTAGACTATAGACTAGACTATAGACTAGACTATAGACTAGACTATAGACTAGACTATAGACTAGACTATAGACTAGACTATAGACTAGACTATAGACTAGACTATAGACTAGACTATAGACTAGACTATAGACTAGACTATAGACTAGACTATAGACTAGACTATAGACTAGACTATAGACTAGACTATAGACTAGACTATAGACTAGACTATAGACTAGACTATAGACTAGACTATAGACTAGACTATAGACTAGACTATAGACTAGACTATAGACTAGACTATAGACTAGACTATAGACTAGACTATAGACTAGACTATAGACTAGACTATAGACTAGACTATAGACTAGACTATAGACTAGACTATAGACTAGACTATAGACTAGACTATAGACTAGACTATAGACTAGACTATAGACTAGACTATAGACTAGACTAGACTAGACTATAGACTAGACTATAGACTAGACTATAGACTAGACTATAGACTAGACTATAGACTAGACTATAGACTAGACTATAGACTAGACTATAGACTAGACTATAGACTAGACTATAGACTAGACTATAGACTAGACTATAGACTAGACTATATACTAGACTATAGACTAGACTATAAACTAGACTATAGACTAGATTATAGACTAGACTATAGACTAGACTATGGACTAGACTATAGACTAGATTATAGACTAGACTATAGACTAGACTATAGACTAGACTATAGACTAGGCTATAAACTAGACTATAGACTAGACAATAGACTAGACTATAGACTACACTATTGACTAGGCTATAAACTAGACAATAGACTAGACAATAGACTAGACTATTGACTAGTCTATAGACTAGACAATAGACTAGACTATTGACTAGTCTATAGACTAGACTATTGACTAGTCTATAGACTAGACTATTGACTAGTCTATAGACTAGACTATAGACTAGACTATAGACTAGACTATAGACTACACTATAGACTAGACTATTGACTACACTATAGACTTGACTATAGACTACACTATGTTTATGGACATTGTGCCACTTTTTGAAGTATAATAACGATTATGAACATTATGACATTGAACATTACAATACGCCACTAACATTTCTACAACAGAGTTGCATTTTATAACTATTTTACGAAAATCTATATAAATTAAAGAGTAATGTTTGTTCGTAATCGATAAACTCAAAAACTACGGCATCATATAGGACAAAATTTCAAATATTTTGTCGTCAGAGTTTTAATTTTTAGTCAATTCCACCTAAACCGCTAAACCCATTCGAAGGGGTATATAGGGTAGAGGCCACATGTCAAATGTAGTTCCTGCAATGAGGAGCGGCCATCACTAGAAGAATGTAAAACTTTTGATTGGGCTGCTTGAAAGCCAGAGGTGGCCAAAATTAATTTAAAAAGTTCTAGGACCCATGACTTGTGAAAAAAGATTACTTAAAAGTGCATTTTAAACTAACTTCGCAAAAAAACTGTTTTTAAAAACGGCACCAGTTCAAGTTAGTCTAGTGATCGGTCAAAGAAAACTATTTGTTTAGAAATTTGCAGCAAATTTTGAACGAAAGTTTTGTTATAATTATGAGATTGCCAATAATTACAACAAAAACTTTTACCGACGGAGCTTTTTCGATCCAGAAAGAAACAGCAAATTCGTGATTTTCAATATCTTGAAAACATAACATTAATCATAATGCATTATTATAATGTTAACAAATCCAATTCTGAATATTAAGCTAAAAAACTTGTCTATATGGGTCTTTCTAATTTCTATCAATTTCTTATCTATCTAAAGGATCAATTTATTCTGAGAATTATAAACAGGTCGAGTAGATTTTAGTCAATTTATGAAATAAACTAGATTCTTCAAGCACTGCCAATCTTGTCTTGATCTTGAAAATAATCCTAAACAGCTTATGGAAGTTGTAAATTTCTCAAGGGAGCTAAAATTAAGAACTTTTATTATTTCTGATCTATACCGATAATTCCTATATATTGAAACTAAAACCAGAGTTCAATGAAATGATTTCCGGAAATTTCTAAAATACAACATTCTTAATCACCAACTTTCCATTAAATTCCATGATCCATTCGAACGATGTTATTTTTTCGAAAATCTGCTCAACCTGAGCCTAGAAACAACCAGTTTGATCAGACTATATTAAGACACTTTAACAAAACTTTCTTTACAACTACCGACGGCAATTCTACCTTTCGCTACACAAAAATTCCCCCAAACCCCTTATCAAACGTACCTTGTAACAAACGATTTTCAGCATCTGTAAAGCTCAACACCCAGGCATCGCCTTCCATAGCAGAGTTTTTACCCTGCAACGCTATACATTCCTTCGATAACATGTCGAAACCTTCAGTCTTAACCTCTGCAACAATATTGGGATGTGGCCATGGTATACCCGGTATGGGCCAATGTGAGGCAGAACGTGGCCACAGGCCGGCACACTTAAAGGCAGGCGTAATTTGTACAATAATCCTTTCGCGTATACGCAACTTAACCTCGGTAGTGTCGGCAATCATTTTCACTATATCTCGATAAGCACATTTATCACAAGCTTGGGCAACTAACGTTTGAAAACGTGAACGTATCTTACGGGCTGACAAGTAGCCGGAAGCTGTTATAAATTCTACCCATAGAGACATGGAACGTTTGCGGCCATCGCTTAGTTTGAGTACCGCACAGCCGGGCAGTGTGCCATCATCGACAAAATTTAAAACACCCATTTGATTCAAGTATATGATGATTTCAAATTCTGTGGGTGATATAACTTCCAAACCCTCAAAGCGACCATTATAATCGTTAAGGGAGGATATGAAACGAGGCTCTTGGACCTCTACTTCTTTGAGGACATCTTGAACTATGCGACACACCTCGAGTATTTGTTTGTGTATCTGGGCTTTTCGTGTCTGAACACGATCTGCACAGTATTTGTTCATTTGATAGACCATTTTGGATTGTGCCGCTATCATATCCGACGGCACTAACATGTTGCTGCTTAAAGTATGAACTTTGTGATAAAAAGCTTTTATAAAGCTTTGTTTAGTAGATTACAGGAAAATTGCTAATAATTAACAACTTTTCTTTAAGATTTGTTTGTTTGTTTTTTTTAAGCAAATATTTTTAGAAACTTTTTTTATTTTAATTTTTATTCTTAATTTGTGTTAAGCTTTTCTTGCTAAACTTTGGTTTTCTTTTTAAACTTTTAATATAATTTTCACCTTATTTGGGTTAGAATTTTCTTTATTTAATATTTTGTATATCCGAAATTTTCGTAATTTATTTTCGTTTTCTTTTAAGAAAATTACCACAAAACTTCTTTTACAAAACTTTCTTAACAAACACGCGACGTCACACACAATTACTCTCCACCACGTTCACGCGTCGTCAAGTTCTAAATGTTGACTGAGTTTCGTTTGCTGAACTCACCGCAAGAAAACGACTGCGACAACGCCAACAACGACGACGGCTACGACTTCTCATTTGTTTTGTTCAGTTCTTCTTCTTCTCCTTCCACAACTCTGCTCTAAACAATTCTGTGTGTAATTTCTTATTAGTATTTTCAGCCGATAACTGTTGCTATTCTTGTTACTCCTTTGGATACTAAGGTAGCCATATTGTTTTTACCGACCTTTTCCGGTTGTGTGTTAGAGTGAGATGGTGGTGTTTTATGTATCGAGATTTGTTAAGAGTTTTGTATGTGTTTTTTGTTTGTTTTATTAGTATTTTTGTATTTACTTTAATGGCTGGTTTTATCTTTGTTTGTTTCCTCTCTTTTGTTGCCTTTGACTTGATGTTTGTATGGGTATGCAGGGGTTTCCACCGATGTTTAGTACTTTTTTTTCAGTTGTTTTATGTGTGGTTTTATGGTTTTAAAGTAGCGCCGTCAGATAGCGATGGCGCTTATGCCTTTTTATGTTTTTTTGCAAATGTATTTGTTTAAACGTATAATTGTGTATTTTGTTGCTGAAGTTACCAGATGAAGAATTTGCAACATTTATATTTTGCTTAGATCTCCATCGTACCTATTGAATTCCGAAGAAGTCTTGAACTGGGATGCTTTAAGTGAGTGGGGTCAGCTACAGGGAACACTTCCGCTTTAAGTTTGCCATTCGCAGGAAATATAAAAATTCCATGTTTTATCTAAATCTCGAGATTCTAATAGCGGAACGTTGACCTACATATATGTCGACTTTCTAAAGTTCTTGCAATCCAAATTTTCTGATGTTAATTGATCCAATTTAAAAACACGGTGCACTGCATTCTAAATTTCAGTTAGTAAGTTAGGTAGTTAGTTAGTTAGTTAGTTAGTAGTTAGTTAGTTAGTTAGTTAGTTAGTTAGTTAGTTAGTTAGTTAGTTAGTAGTTAGTTAGTTAGTTAGTTAGTTAGTTAGTTAGTTAGTTAGTTAGTTAGTTCGTTGTTAGTTAGTTAGTTAGTTAGTTAGTTTGTTAGTGTTAGTTAGTTCGTTAGTTCGTTAGTTCTTTATTCGTTCGTTCGTTCGTTAGTGCGTTTTCGTTCGTTCGTTGTTTGTTGTTAGTTCGTTCGTTCGTTAGTTCGTTCGTTCGTTTCGTTCGTTCGTTCGTTCGTTCGTTCGTTCGTTCGTTAGTTCGTTCGTTCGTTCGTTCGTTCGTTCGTTCGTTCGTTCGTTCGTTCGTTCGTTCGTTCGTTCTTCGTTCGTTCGTTCGTTCTTCGTTCTTCGTTCGTTCGTTCGTTCGTTCGTTCGTTCGTTCGTTCGTTCGTTCGTTCGTTCTTCGTTCGTTCGTTCGTTCGTTCGTTTCGTTCGTTCGTTTGTTCGTTCGTTCGTTCGTTCGTTCGTTCGTTCGTTCGTTCGTTCGTTCGTTCGTTCGTTCGTTCGTTCGTTTCGTTCGTTCGTTTTCGTTCTTGTTCGTTCGTTCGTTCGTTCGTTTCGTTCGTTCGTTTCGTTTTCGTTCGTTCGTTCGTTCGTTCGTTCGTTCGTTCGTTCGTTCGTTCGTTCGTTCGTTCGTTTCGTTCGTTCGTTCGTTCGTTCGTTCGTTCGTTCGTTCGTTCGTTCGTTGTTCGTTCGTTCTTCGTTTGTTCGTTCGTTCGTTCGTTTTCGTTCGTTCGTTCGTTCGTTCGTTCGTTCGTTCGTTTTCGTTCGTTCGTTCGTTTCGTTAGTTCGTTCGTTCGTTCGTTCTTCGTTCGTTCGTTTGTTCGTTCGTTCGTTCGTTCGTTCGTTCGTTCGTTCGTTCGTTCGTTCGTTCTTTCGTTAGTTCGTTCGTTCGTTCTTCGTTCGTTCGTTCGTTCGTTCGTTTCGTTCGTTTCGTTCTTCGTTCGTTCGTTCGTTAGTTCGTTCGTTCGTTCGTTCGTTAGTTAGTTCGTTCGTTCGTTCGTTCGTTCGTTCGTTTCGTTCGTTCGTTCGTTCGTTCGTTCGTTCGTTGTTCGTTCGTTAGTTCGTTAGTTAGTTAGTTCGTTAGTAGTAGTTAGTTAGTTAGGCCTCCATAGGACCTCATGTGTAGTAGTAATAATAGACTAAATTGCCTATCTTACAGATTTCTAAAACAGTTATTTGGATTCTCGAGTCCTGCAAAAACAATGTCAATATAAATTATAGTTAACTAACATAAAACAAAAAAATACGGTTATATATATAGTTCTCCTATTTTTTCCACCATCTGGCAACTCTCTCTTCTCGCCCCATTAACAAACCTCTAATAAATTACCACAAAGTCTCCGCCTCTATTTTATGCCTGATGTTTAAAAAGGCGCACACTTCTACTAATTGTAAAAACAAACAAAATTAATAAATAAACAGAAAAACTCACATAGATAAACACTAATACAAACAAATCTGTGAAAAACAAAATAAAACTCTTGGCACTCTCTCTTTTCTGAACAGAACAGAGGGAACGAAAGCGAAAACTGAAATGAATAAAACCACCACCAACAACAAGTCAAAAAATTAAACAAATACAGTAGCAGATTGTATTAAACAAACACACCACGTACGGATAAACGAGGGTTGTTAGAGAGGAAAATAAAGCCAGAAAAAAAATGGAAGCGGAAATAAACCTTTTTAAGTTTTCACGGAAACGTTATGATAGTTGGGCCTTATATAGTAGATATCAATCTGAACATAGAATAGCAACTCTGAGAGAATTCTATGTAAAGTGTTTTTTGGCACTAGTTACTTCGCTGACACAAAGTAATGCAAAGAAAGACATATAATCTAATTAGACGAAAATTGTGAGAATATTTAAAGGATAGGTTTTGCAGTATAAAAAATACTGCGACATATAAACTGCAACTTTTGGTGGTAACCATAATTTCTAAGACTACCCTCGTATATGTATGTTAAATTCATATAAAAAAAAACACCATAAATATGTACTTTTATGTAGTATGTATGTACAAAATAAAAACAGCAACAACAACAAAATTAAATGTACACATAATGTGGCATCATAAATTCATAAGCAACAACCCATTCAAACACATACTTCAACATTCAAGGATGAAGTGACTAGAGGGGCAAAAACAGTATAGTGGCATAATACCATTTAGTAAATGGAGTAGAAGACATTCATGTTAAAAACAAAATGTATAAAGAGGGTTTTAAATATTTTGCAACTCATATCTTCAGAGATACAACAAACATTAATGGTGTGAAAGAAGGAAGTTGTTTGTTTTGTTGCCTTAACAAGGGAAGAAATAATAAAATAAACATTTTCCCGCATTTCTTCCTTTACTTCTTCGAGAGTTTTATAGTTGTTGTTCTTAAAATTATCGATCTAAATCCTAAAGAAACAATAACAACAATTCATGTGGTGTTTGTTTATAAAAAAACGAGCTTCCGTTAGAAGTTAAACCTTAAAATTCTCTTTGTGTTTTCCTTAAGCAGAGAAACTTCAACATCACCATTTCAGTCATTGGGGTTACTATAGTTGAGTTGCTCTTCCCATTATTGGGGCTTTCTCTGAAGCCAGGGGATGTTTAATTTTATTATTGTCATTACTTTTCTTTGTGTGTTGTTGTTTTCTGTTGTCTGGTTTGCAACAAGGACATTATTTATGTTTCCTTTGCTGGCTGGTAGACATAATTAATGATATTTAAACATGAAATTAATGCTAATGCTATAAATGGAGTTTTTTTTGAGACAATATTCACAATAAAAATTAATAAAATTTTAATATTTCTTAAGAATATAAAAATTAATTTTTTAAATTAGATAGAACATCTAAACTAATTTCTTAATTTCTTATCTTTAATAACTTTTCAATAGAGGAACAGTGATATTTTTCACCAAAAATGGATTTTTATAGTAAAACCTTAAAATCGGCTGTAGATCTCTTAATTACACTCCGATTGAGAAAACAACTTATACCTCCGATCACTCATTTTTTATATTAAAAATGCATTGTAATATGAAAATTGGATGTAGATCACTAAGAGCTCTCCAATTGAGAAAATAATAGTAATTCGTGATCACTGATATTTTTTGTTAAAAACTCATTTAAATATGAAAAACTGGATATGGAGAACGCTCCAATTGAGAAAATAGTGAATATCATTGATCACTCATATATTCCTTTAAAAATGCATTTTGAAAACTGGATGTAGATCGCTTAAATTGCTCCAAATGAGTGAACTGTAAAAATCTGTGATCACTGATATTTTCCGTTATAAACGCATTTAAAGTGAGAATATGTGATCACTCATATTTTTATATGAAACATCAAAAACTAGATGTAGATCACTTAGAACGCTTCAATTGAGAAAAAAGTGAAAATCTATGATCACTAATATTTTGCTTTAAAAATGCGTTAAAATAAGAAAAACCTAAAATCATTCACAGAGTCTTAAATTAGGCTCCAATTGAGAAAATAATGAGAATATGTTATCACTCATATTTTCCATGAAAAATACATTTTTATATGAAACATTTTAAACTGGATGTAGATCACTTAGATCGCTCCAATCCAGAGAACAGTGAAAATCTGTGATCACTGATCTCTTCGTTAAAAACGCATTTAAATATAATAAACCTAAAATCGGCTATAGATCCTTAAATAACCCTCCAGTTGAGAAAATAGTGACAATATTCTGCACCCATATTTTCCATAAAAATGGATTTTGATTTATATAAAAACCTAAAATCAGCTGTAGAACACTTAAAACGATCCAATTGAAAAAAGAGTAAAAATCTGTGATCACTTTTTACATGAAACCTCTAAAATCGGCTGTAGATCACTTAATATCGCTGCAATTAAGAAAAAAAAATAAACACTTGAGATCTCTCCTATATACCACCAAACTGATCGCCGATATTTTCCATTAAAAAGGCATTTTTAACTGAAAATCGACTGTAGATCACTTAATGACGGACTCTCTCGTTGAAAGACTAATGATCACTAATATTTCCATTAAAAAAAGTATTTTTATATGAACAACTTAATAAAGCTCCAGTTGAGAGAATAATGAAAATCAGTGAT